TGACCCAAAATGAACTACAAGAAACAACCGACGATGCCTGAAATGGATAGCAAATTCGAATTCAGGGCATCAAAATACCCCGAAATGGCATACAAGTGCAAGAAGTCATTACAGGTCAACCGAGGTCAATGACCTTACCTTGACCTTTAGTGACCTTCAAAATGTCAACGGACATTGTGCCAATGTCAAATCAGCCAGTTGTGATTCTATAAAACAATCCATCAGTGCGTCAGGTCAGTCGGCATTTATACCAATGTGAAGCAATCTCCAATTTAGCGTAAATCTGGCCGGAGGTTGTTCCCTTTATGACGTCATAACTCCGTAACCTGACATGACCTTGACAAAAAAAAAATACCAAAAGTTGCGCAAAGGATGCCCCAAAGGGTACTGAAAATTTGAGCAGGCTATCTGAAACGGTTCGGCGTGTAGCTAAGAAAAACCTCGGGGGGGGGGTTGATACACCCCCCCCTAGGCGTTCTAGGGTTAAGTGGTATTCGAAGTAGCGTCAAAAGTAGCAAAAAGAAGAAAAAAATACTTCAGCTAATTTTGGATCCGGTCATAGCCAGAGATCATGTCACTAGAGGTCATCGATGGTAAAATTTTGCTTAGACAGGGTGCGTTGTGCGCACCGGTGCATTGGGTTTCCAATTTCCATGGAAACATCAACAGACTCGGAAGCTCGCAACAGGGGCGCGGGAACTACTTTCCGACTGGGGGCACACCATAATAGAGATCAACCTAGGATCCCCCCAAATCTTTTCTCACCGGTTTTAGGCCACTTATTTTTCATCTCTCGGCTTTTTCAACAAAAAAAGAAAACATTTGCAAAACAATGTGGTATTCCGTCTCAAAGCTGTGGGGGCACCGCCCCCACGGCCCCAGAGTTGGGGGGGGGGGGCAAGCTGCACCCACTGCCCCCCCGGCTCCCGCACCTATGGCTCGCAACGCTAGCGTGGAGCCCAATTCATATCAACCGCCGCAACAATGCAGCAGCGCAGCGCAGCGTGCTGCAGCGCGGGGCCGTGAAACACCGCCCAGGGCTACCCATGTGTCAGGGCAATCCAACCCACGTGATGGGCTCGGCCCCAGCGGAGCATGAGGTCCAGGACTCCCGCCCAGGCCCCCTGTCTCCTCCTAATTCCTATCATCCTTCCCACTCTGAAATCGACCGAAGAGCCTAACCTAACACAACAATCAGCTCATTTACCGCTATGTCTGAAATCTGAATAATATTGTCAGATTGAATTAGGGTCAACGGCTTAGCATGTAAATAACAACAACTGCCACCATCGGTATTATGAGAAAACCAATTGCTTTTCCACAAACACTTTAAAGTTTTTAGCTTAAAACTTGCATTAAATTAATTTTACCAGCCTCTTCGTTCCTCTTATCAAAACGCTTCGAATGAATCGCAAGTTTATCTTTAAAGGTCATTTGAAAAATTTGGCCTATGTTCAAAGACATGACCTGACCAGAAATGGTCATAGCATAGCAGGATATTAGATCCGTATCGTGGAACTTTACAAACACTTCAGATGATTTCATAACTAAGCATGTCTATCAAAAATAATTATTACATGGCTCATATGTAAGCTGGGTGTGTGAACATGCTTGCGCTTATGTTGAACGCAACTGATAATGTTCTGTTGGCCACATTTTCTATAATTAATTTAGCCTCCCGAATTTCATATTTTTGTTAATGACACCTTCACGATGTCGAGAAAAAAAAACGCTTAGGAGATTTTTAGGAACGCAGCCTGAGATACATTCAGTATAAGGAAGGTTCAAGGGTGCTAGATTCCTTACGTCATCGCTATCCTCAGGAAAAACCAATCCGCATCGCCCCTACATAGTCTTCATGCTTCCCTCTCTGGACGGGAGGTCACCCCACCAGCCAACCTGTAGTTGATGTCGGATCCATTCCAGGACACATAATCCTCTTCGGGTGACCGTTTGGGAGACGGCTGGACCGTCCCGACAGGGCAATCGTCCCACGGGGAACAGTCTCGCTTCCGCAGATCACCGTCGCTGGCTCGCACAACCCAATTACTACACCACAGCATAGTTATGTCATAGCTCTGCAAGGGCCTTTTCAGACCGAAAAAGATGGCCCCCAACAAAACAAACAATTTTCTCATTCAGTATTGTATCTCATCAAGCACCACATGTTTTCAGAGTATAGTTCCGTCCAAAAAAGCGCAGTTCAATTTTCTCCCATTGACTTGAGTTGACCCGGCCTTTCTGTCAACAATGTCAAACTTGCAAAGTAAACGTTTCAAATACATATACTGTTGCCCATTAAAATCGCTGAAAGTTCTGAAGCGATCGGTTAGTCGGTGTATTTACCGACTAATATTGGTTATAGTCGTATTGGTAGATATCATGAGATATATATTGGTAGATATGATGAGCACAGGAACTTTCCTTGAGGTAAGGTCACTTGACGTAACCTGATGTTATGACCTTGAATTGAAAGACTTGGGCGGGAAAAAATGGGTCATTTGAAATATCAAATGCTAGATTTTAACAATAATTGCAAACACTATCCCGGCCAAATAGTGAGTGAGAAGGGAGCGATTCCCCGACCCCATGTTTAGCTCCTATAATTGAGCTAGCTGCTAGAGCCTCGCGGAAAAAAAAACGAGCGCTTCCGTTGTTACGTGACGTAGCGACTGGCACCCCATTTTAAAATATCAGTGACCTCTTAGGGCAGGTCAAGGGCCCCAAGGCATTTGATAGGTTCTTGGTAAATAACTAAACGCATTATCGTCATTTCAATACAATCGTGTTTTCTATTCTCAGATGCGTCGATTTGTTTTTTTTTTACGTGAAGCAAGTTAGGATGTTTTGTTTACCTCAGGTCAATGTCATGTTAGGGCAGCGCAGGTCACGAAGCTGTTGAAAGGAGGACATGTTGCATAACATTTGATTCGACAAGTCTTGCAAAGTCCATTGATGGCTGTCCAGACTGGCTAGCTCATTTCGATCGGGAGTTATTGACGAAACACTCCTATGACACAAGTGACGTCATAAATGACGTCACGCAAGGTGAATCATGCAAAAGTGAAGCATTAGACCTTGCCAAGAATGTATGAAGTCACGATTTCATGTGCTTGAGGTATAGTTTCAGATTATTTCCGACGCCACATTAACAGCTTCCATAATTCCCCATTATGCTTATACGACACTAAGTGCATTGCGGATTGCATCATTTTATAACCGACAACCGTTCAGAGGCTTACCTAAGACATACCGGGCTTCTCACAAAAGTCGGACCAATTTCTTTTGCGGATAATGGACTGGAAACAATATTTAAACGAAACAAATGCACGTGAAAAGAAAGCAAATTTTTAGGAGATTTATATGATACCATATTCGTTGAGTTTAAAAAAAATGAGACAGTGGTCTTAAGACGCCAAAGCAAACTCAAAGAAATTCTACTTTCAGAATAAGTCGGTCGTTTCAACACAACCGAACTTCCGCAATCCTTTTTTTGTGCAAAGTAAGCACCATCTTGAAATGCTATTTTCCACGTTGTTGAAAGTTTCTGGCTCGAGGAAATGTTAACTGCGGGTTCAAAGAACATAGCGGAGGCCGCAAACCTAATCAAAGAAGCCCGGCGAACGTCCCTCGTGTCAGAGATGCGCTATACCCAGGCTGTCAATGGTCAGCGATACCGGATGACCCTGACAAATTTTTGGAGTGTCCTGCAGACCACAATGGGCGGCGATCCTGAACCACTCAAATGCCAATAGTTCCAGCTAGACGTTTCCACGGCCAATACCGCTAAACCGGGAGTGGCTGCAGGAGCGCTCCGGGCAGCGTGTGATCTCGAGATTTGAGACACATCCGTGACCAGCGAGCTCCCCGGACTTGACCCCACCGGACTTTTTCCTGTAGGACCACCTCAAGTCCCAGGTGTACCGAAACCACCCAAGAAGTCCCAAAGACCTGAAGGGTGCAATGAGGTCGGCGGTGCGCAGCCTGCCACCTTTCGCGTGCCGTGCTGCAACAGAGGCCGCGCTGCGCGGGGCTTAACTGTGCGTCGAGCGAAACGGGGGTCATCTCGAACAGGTCCGGCAAGGCTCAGTAAGGCGATCGCCGACGGTCGAAATCCCCCGAAACAAAATATTTTTAACCAGGCTTTCAGATGATACCTGATTTATTTTTGTAACACTGACACACCCTAAAATATATTAATTTTAAATTCGTCCGACTTTTGTGAGAAGCCCGGTAGTTAAGTGATCTGACCTGAAAACGTGGTTGATGTCAAGTGATCCGGCTTGATTGAAATGTAAGGCATGTGAAATGTCAGCCTTCTATCATCAGTGTGCTTTGAGCTACCGCAAAAAAATGCATGGTGGAGGCATCCACCCCTTCTTCTCGGCCGGCGAGGGTAAACCTCGCTTCGAATTATTGCAGATAATGATGTGACCGAAAACCAAGCATTATTCTGTGTCTAGAACGGCCGCTGACTTGTTGGACAAGATCTCCAATCTTAATTCGCTAGATAGGAATAAAATACTCGGTATGTGATACATATAGTTATACCCCTCGATTTGCCCTCGCGCTAAGTCTATTCTAATCATCACTGCCGCTTTTTTATCCGAGATGCTGTCGCCGCTAAACGGGTTGTTTTGTTTGCTTGCTTGCGCTGAATGGCCATTACAGATTATTGAAGGATTATGATAAAATAGGAATGAGGCAAGGGAGGATATGCACTGCAGGTGTTTGATTTAGATCACAAAGGCATCATTTCAGGCATCGTGCAGAGTCATTATCTTCCCCTCCTCTGCACAGCGGCATCTCTGCGCCCCACACACTGCGTCCTCACTCCACGGCCGGCCGCCGCCAACTGACCCACTCGCCGGGCGCCGCGACCTGACCCGTGTCGCTGCCGCGGCCTGCGCAATAGAGTCGGGGCTGGAATCCGGGGGTTCGGCCGGCCGGCCGCCTCTGGAGCGGGGGACTTTTTTAGTAGACCTACTGTACGTACATACCTTGCCACTCGGTTTGCCGGCGCGCCGTGCGCCGCGTAGAGTGCTGCGCGCTGATTGGTCACTGGTGCTGACGTCAGAGGCTGACTGGGCGGGGCTGATTGAGGGCGTGGCCGACTGGACGGAGCTGGCGGCGGGCGCGGCGCTGGCGGCGTGCTCCCATGGGTCGACCCGCTGGAGAAAGCGCTCAAAGACGTCTGTCTCCAGCTGCAGCTGCCGGACGGCCGTCTGCAGCTGCTCGGTGGAGCGTTGCAGCTGCTCGTCCGATAGCTGGTCCATCTGCGGCACAGCGCGCACCCCAGTCAACGGTCGGCGTCCAGTCAACCCCAGTCTCTAGTCATCCCAGTCAACGGTCCGCGGCCTCGGAGCTCAACTCATTCCCGGTCAGGGTGAAATCAGCCTTTGGTACCCTAGGCTCGAAATTGAAAAAAAAAACACACCACATTGTCACAAACCATACAACAACAAACAAAATTGTTCATGCGATCATTTAACCCGCGCATGACTAGGGGGGGGGGGGCTCTGAGCCTCCCCCGGTTTTTCGGCAATATCTTCCAAACCCTTGAACGTATTGTTGTGAAGTATATCAAATTAAGAGTTCTGTCATGCAGTTGTCACGCGCACGTGTATATTTATATTTGTATTTCTATTTATTAGATCGCCAACAGGCCCATCGCCCTTTTACTGACTAAGTCAGTTACACACAAGCTGCAAGCAATACACAAGATGACAGTACCTACATTAGAGTAAACGTAAGAAAATGTGATAAATACGGTAAATTTATAATCGGCAGGAGTATACAGTTATTGAGTACAAGATAAAATCACAAGAACAGTAGACATAAAATCGGTTCATGAGAAAGAACTATGACTAAGGAGTAAGAGGTCACACTATGACTAATAAGTAAGAAGTCTCGTAAACGGTACCTCTACCTACATACAAGATCGATAAAAGTAAAGCACGTGAGTATGATGTAAAAGATCACATGAAAGTGCCTTGCGTAATTGTGAATCCGATAGCGCGTGTTTTAAATGAGTATGAACTACCAGTAAAGAAGTCGGTGGTAGGGTCGTGGAGCAAGAATGAGTTGCATGCAGCTGGGATCCTGACAAACAGACATCGTTGCACAGTGTTCACTCGCGCACGCGGTGTGTTCCGACCCCCACCGGACACGATTTGGTAGCCGAGGTCTGTGACGTCAGCCGGGCGTGAAGTTTTCCCTTCACCATAGGCTTCACACACAAACTGGCCGAAGTTCATGCCAGGATAGCCCGGCTTGAAAGTGCAAAAATGATTAAATATTGACCTCAATAGATTCATTGCTTCATTTTATAACTAAAAACGTCCGTTATTAGGCCTCAATGAAGGTAAAAAGTACTCAAAATCGAAGTTCAAGAAGATGCTGTCCGAGCACAATCTGGTAGTATCACGTGACCTCTTTTAAGCAGAATGTATGTAATTCAAGGATGTTATTGCACGATTGCTGCCTAAAACATCATAAATAATACGCTTGTAACATTTATTGCTTCTGTTTAAGTCATAACATTGCAAAACACAAAGTTTATCATGACAGTCACGTGACCAAAGGTATAGCAGGGGTTGGGACAAGCACTCAAAGGATTTCAAGTTTCTTAATTAAATTATATAAGTTTCATGATGAAATTGAAAGAATGTATTTTTTCCTAATGAAATACAAATTTTCGTATGTAAAATATTTTCCTTATGGGCGAAATTCTCCATATAAGAAATGTCAGTGACGTCACCAGGGCTTTACTCAAAACATCGGACCTACCTGTTTCTTATAGGTATCTTGGTGTGTTCCACAGAACCGTGCTCCTCGTCCTCCGTGCCGGTATACGGCAAGACCGAACGCACCGACTAACACATCATTGTCCAGCTTCCCACGATGAATGTGGAATAAAAACATGATATCGTACTGTATGAATCTAGACTTGATGGAGCGCACTTTAAAATGTGAGAGTAAAACCGAGTAGTCCATGTCGTCAGAGCGCCTGTCAGAGTAACGAGCTAACCACATCAGAAACTTGTGCTGCACTCGCTCGAGCCTTGTCAGGTGAGATGCAGCCGCTCCAGCCCATATGACACAGCCATACTCGATGATTGAACGCACATGAGCGTAGTACGTACACAACATGGTTTTGTGATCAAAGGCGGCTCTGCTGTAGCGTCGAGACAGTTGCATACTACGGATAATCAGTCCTAACATCCGGTTTGCCTTGGCAACAGTCTGGTCAACGTGGGCGGCAAACGTAAGCTTGGAGTCGAGGATTATTTACTCCTAGGTCTCGGACTTCGGATCGGCGGATATTTGTAATTGTGTGCTAGAAGACAAGAATACCAGGGATACCTACCGGGGGATGTGCTTGGAAGTTGCTTGGAAGTTAAACACTGTTAACAATGCATTGATTATGCAACATGAACATATTATTGTTTATTTCTTATGAATAAACTCTCACTGTCATATTAACCCTATTAGTGGCAGGCTCCTGGCTACCCCTATTAGTGGCAGGGGGGGGGGCTGTTTACGACCCCCCCCCTGATATCTCGAGATCTAACGGGCCGATTTTCACAATTCAAACGGCATTCGATTTCGCTCAACGTGATCTACATTTCTACAAAAATGAAAATTAAAAAATGTCAATAGGGGGGTAGAGGGGGGGGGGGTAAAACGGGCAAATTGCAGATACATTTTAGACTGTTTATCACGGCCAGGTTTCTGAACCAATCTTAACCCTATTAGTGGCAGGGGGGTTGTTTTCATCAACCCTCAGGTTTTTTGAGAATATCTTCGAAACCGCTGAAGCTACGATGCTGAAATTTTCTGACTTTTTCTAAAACTAAATTGGGCACATTCCCTGAAAATTTCAAGTTCGTGACTTTACCAGGGGCGGATCCAGAGCACTGGGAATTGGGGGGTCCTGGGGGGTCCTATTCGTGAAGAGAGTTATTTGGGTGAAGATCACGATGCTGGTGTATTATAACTGTATGCACCAGTTTTACGATCAGTGAATGAAAGTTATCATGTGATAACATATACAAAGTTATTGTGCATCCTCTTTTGACACGTTTTTGCTATAATAGGCAGATCCAGGCGTCCAAAAAAGGGGGTTATGTTTTACCTCCCAACATATGTGCCCTGACACCACCTATGCATGACCAATACAATTGTAGTCGTTCTCTCATAAGAAAATTGTAACATAACAAAACCATTACCACCCTTTTTAGAAATAGTACCAACAAAAACCTTATTTACTATACTTTTTGTGTACCCCCAATCTCAATGATCTGTATCCGCCTATGATTTTTGAAAATGCATATTTTTAGGATCCATGTGAATTCCTGGTTCATTCTCTATCGATCGGCAAAAGTTGCGTTAACCCTATTAGTGGCAGGCTCCTGGCTACCCCTATTAGTGGCGGGGGGGGGGGCTGTTTACAGTGGCGTAGCCAGAAATCAGCGAAAGGGGGGCATGGTGCTCGAGGGGGCGACTTTTCCCTTGAGAGGGGCGCCATTGTGAGCTAGTGACAGGGGGTCAATCTAAAATGTAACGTCATATATTCATGCATTATTTACTAGGTGTTGCAAAATACGAGTATAAGAACGCTTCGCTGATTTTTCATAAAATCCAATGCAATTTGCAGCCCGGTGTTTTTTATCAAAAGCCTTGATCTTTATGCATATTTAGCACGATATTAGGATTAGGAAACGAGCTCAGGCTACGGACATGTTATTCTCAAAACACACACCCATGCGAATTCGAAACGGTAAAATATACGTGGATCGATAGGCACAATCTGTATTCTTTGCAAAAAAAAAAAAAAAAACATACAGGTTCACTCACTGATCCAAAGTGACCTGTGGACCTGTGGGCCTCTGGTCGACCGGGGTGGCCGTGCTTAGAATCTCAGACACTCATGACTGCATGAGTGCCAGATGGGTGAGGCGTGAGACTGTCCCATATAGTGGCACGAAGGTTAAGAATGTCTTCGGCCGGCGTAGTATAGAAGACGACTTTTGATGATGTGAGTGTGCATGGTCGACTTTAAATAAGCGCCATAGAAACCTGCTGATCTCACCGAACATTCGCCTTGCGTAATCCTCAGACGACCAAATATCTACATTGAGATGGCCAGGTCAATTTTGCGACCTCTCCATTATATATTAGGTAGTTAACCTGCGCCGTGCTGGTGGCCTGTGCTTTCCGTGTCGTGCTGGGGGGGGGGGGCATTTTCACGTCCCCACTCTAACTCGGCTCCTGGGCTACGTAGCGACACGCAGTAAGAGGAAATCGAAAGAGCGTCAAAAATACTGACGGAAAGACTTCGTTTTAATATTTAGGTCAGGTCAAAGGTCAGGTCACCAGAGGTCATCAAAGGTAAAATTTAGTCCATTTCAACAATTTGTAAACTGCCAACGGCTAACTCGGGAACCAATAGAGCTACAGCGCCGCGGAACGTGTTCCTCTCGTCGAGACGCGTCGAATGAACTATACGTTGACCTTGAAAGGTCATTTTAAAAATTTGACCGCACGTCAAGGTCATGACCTGACCGGAAAGGGCCATGCTGCATATCAGTCGATCCGTATCGTCGAGCTGACCACAGCCCCCTGGACGAGTCCGCCTTCAAGTGGTGGGGGGTGTGGTCGCCTGCGACCGCCGTCTGCGGTGGACAGCCGCGGACGGAACGCCAAACGGACTCAACTTGCCTCTCTTCCTCTGCGCGCGGCCACTGCCTGGTGGCACGTACTCCATCTACCGACTCTTCCTCGCCGAGGGTCGTCCGTCGCCTGGGCAGCGCTCAATGCCCCCGCGGGCCTGGGAGCCGCGCTCGCAGCGCGGCCCCGGCCCGCTGAGTGATTAGCGCGCCGGCCGCGCCCCCCTCCGTCGCCGGAGGAGGGAGCACCGACGGGGTGGGGACTGGCAGTAGGCGCCGCCTCAAGAACCGCCGCTACCGCAAGAATCGGGCCAGGAGAAGCCACGTGACGCTTGTCTCATGGAATGCCGAAGGTTTGCGCACCAAGGTGCAAGAACTGGGAGGCTGGCTTTCCGCGATTAAAGCAGATGTAGTGGCCATTCAAGAGGCTCAGCTGCCGAAGGCGGTGCCGAGCATACCAGGGTTCCAGCCCCCCGTCGTAGTGCGCAGGGCGCGCGGAAGACAGACCGGCGCGGTGTCGGCGAAGGGAGGAGACGTCGCAGTGTATGTCCGAGCTGGACTGCACTTCTCACCTCTCTCCGACCGGTACCTGGCGGCAGCGGACG